TATAATCATAATTATAATATATAGAATCTGATTTTATAATATAATATAATAATAATTATAATATATAATATTATAAATATAATAATAATTATAATATATAATATTATAAATATAATAATAATTATAATATATAATATTATAATTATTATTATATTATATTATAAAATCAGATTCTATATATTATAATTATGATTATACATTCGACACTTATAAATTGAAAATCACGTTCTAACGCAATCAACAGATTCGATTTTAGATATAATCTGTTTCATAATCGTCGTTCGGTATATAACGAACTGTTCGCTCGAAATCAATGTTAAGATTCGAAGAAAAGTTTCAATAAAAATCAACGATCTGCTTCAGGACCGAGTCTTTCTGCGCAACGATCAACCGATGTTGCGCCCGTTTTTACCAATAATCGTAGCTTTCGAGGCACGTTTCTATTTCGGCATGCTCACGACATGCTCTTTGAACGATTACTATTATTCCAGACATTCCGATTCGTGATTTGCCGTGAGAAACTGATACACGTGGCCGACACGCTCGAGGCTCTGTTCCAGGAGACCGCGATGCAGCAACCCCCCGATTCGCCCGCTTTCCAGTTCATGCTGCCCTTTTACCGTCTGGGATATTACCACTGCGTGTGCATAGTCAGCACCGGGATCCTATACTCGATCAAGCCGCTGATAGGCGTGACGATACGGAACGCGAATCGGTCGACGCCGTTCCCCTCGATTTCCCCGTTGCCGATCGACACCACCGCGTTTTTCGTTGCCCATTACATGCTCGAGGTGGCCGTCTGTTACTCGTTCTGCATCATAACGTCCGGGGTAGACGCGTTCTTCACCCTGTGCGCGTTCCGCATGTGCTCCGTGTTCCGTGCGATGGCAGTCGAGCTGGAGGAGTTGCCAAAACGGCGGAGCGACGGGAACGCCGAGCAGGTCTTACGGAACTGTATCGACCGGCATGTCACATTGATCAAGTGCCGAGAAATCATGGAGGAGATTTACGGGCCTATCATTTTCTCGGTCATGATGACCAATTGTTTGGGCATGTGCGCGTTGATATTCGAGGTCACCAAGGTCAGTGTAACCGCGACGCGAGTCATTCCGTTACGATGGAAGGGCGAACAAAATTGTCAAAGTTCGGGATAGAATGGACATTTGTGAAAAAATATACTGGGTGATTTACATAAATCGAACATCTATGTTATTTCTGTCACTGCGAAAGGTATTGAAAGAAAATGACAAAGCGGTATTTAAATGGTTTCGAAGCTGACGGTACTAAACAATCGTTCTACCAAGATCGTTTTAATGATTTTTTCAAGGTCGTCGACACTTTTTTGGACATTAACGTTTATTTTTCATAGCGGGACGTTGTTGATTGCGTCAAGACGAGTTCCATGGCCTGTAATATGATGACCTTGATATGGCCTCGACAGTTGAAAAATAAGTTGAAATCTAAAGAATACAGAAACGGAAGAGTACATAACCTTATTTTATTACAAATGCTGAAAGCGCCAAGCGCAGTTCTGTATTACTTAAATCTCAACTCATTTTCTAATTGCCAAGGTCACCATATTAAAGGTCATTGAACTCGTCTCGGCGCAAACAACATCGCACTGTAAAAAATGAACGTTGATATTTAAAAAAATGTTGACGACCTTGAAAAAGTCATTAGAACGACCTCGGTAGAACGATTCAGATGCACGTATCGAAACAGTTGATAGTTTTGATTGAAAAGTTTTCATACCTTTCGTAGTAACTTGGATGATCGATTTAAGTGAATATTTAAGTATGTGGCCATACTCTGAAACGGAATTTATTCTTCTAAAATTGGATCGAACAATTTGAATTTTTTTGTAGCAGTAGAGAGAACTAATTTGCTAGACACAACTTATAAAATATGTTGTGTAACCGAGACCAAAAGAATTCAGTGGTTGAATTTTTCATATACAGGGCGACCAATTTGAAGATTTGCACTTAATTATCTCCTAAATTATAGGTTGTTTCTAAAAATGTTCGGAATGAAACTTATCCTCTTCCAAGGGGTACATCTTATGATAGTCACAAATTCTCTCTAGATGAATGTGCCTACGAGATTTGAAGATGACCTTGATTTTTTTAAACAGAACTGTATGTCATTTTCTAGATAAGCTTGTAGTCCATTCCAAGACGAATTCATTGACTTTATTCACTTTGGTCTTTCAAGATCGTTAAAGGTTAATTAATGTCCGAGTATTCCCTCGAGTTGGTCGCAAACGTCACGCGAACTCGCAATAATGATCATTTTTTTCTTTGATTTACCAGACCGAAGTGTTATAGCTCAATGAATTCGCCTTTAAACGGATAGCAAGCTTATTTAGAAAAAATATACAGTTCCATTTTAAAAAATCAAGGTAAGTTTCATTTAGAGCATTTTTAGGGACAAGCTATAGTTTATAGGAGATAATTAAGTGTAAATCTTAAAATGGGTCACCCCGTGTGCATGCGTAGATAAGAAAGTTAAAAATCGTGACTTGTTCAATTGTTTCTCCACATTCGTAAACAAATATTTTTGACACATCAACTTTCAAAGCAGTCCATTCGACGTTCCAAAAAGATTTAACTCGTTCGGTCCACTTTTGAAAAAGGTTGTTTCGTTCAAAAGGTGTCTACGTAGAGTAAATTGTCCCCCAGCTTGCAAACAAAAATGGACAATTTGAGAAGAGGAGATGCGATTATTCGAGCCTCGCGGCTCGTTTTTATGGTCATCGATTGGCTACAATTACAGAGTGTTCCAAAATTATTGTACAAGCGAGAAATGTGAAGTTCCTGAGATCATTTGAAGTTACTTTTCCCCTAACGAAAATACAATCCGCGGCTTCGTTTACGAATTATTATCGAAAAACAGTGATCAATGAGAAGTGATCATTGGCTCGGTCGCCTCGCGTCTACAAATCTCGTCTCTCATTAGCAGGCGCGTCGCGGCACTGACCGCAAGGGCGGAGCGCCGACCGCACTCGCTCTCCGATTGGTCAGTATTTTTCGTCAATAACTCGTAAACGAAGCCGCGGGCTGCATTTTCGCTAAGGAAAAAGTAACTTCAAATAACCTCAGGAACCCCTCGTTTCCCGCTTATACAATAATTTTATCTCGAATAATCGTATCTCCCCTTCCCAAATTGTCCATTTCTGTTTACAAACTGAGGGACAATTGGAGAGAATTTAATTTATTTTAAAATAATCTCTTTTTTCATCGTTTTCGTTGATGTAGAATGTTTTCGAAAAAGTTAATGAATGAGGACAAAAATGTATAAACAAAATATGTTTTCACTGTAATAGGTGAACGCTGCAATAGCGATTGAGAAAGCCGTAGCAATAATGCTTTACCTTATCGGGAAGACGCTTCAAACATTCATGTACACCTGGCCGGCAGACATGGTCACTACCGAGGTTTGTATCACCCGTGACAATGATGAGACTGCCGATCCTTATAGATATAATTCTTCTTCGGGAAGAGCGACGGTTTTCGCCAGGAAGTTTACTGCAGCAACTGGTACGAGGACATAAGTGCTAAAACCGGTAAGCTCACGCTTACGATACTGATGCAGAAATCGGTGATCCTGAAGGCGTGCCGTTTAATGGTGGTTTCCGTCGATCTCTTCGCCAAGGTAGTGCAATCTCATTTATGCAGGATGTTCCGAAATTATGGTACTTTCGTGAAATGAGGAATTCCTGAGATTATTTGAAGTAACTTTTTCCTTAGCGAAAATTAAATCCGCGGCTTTGTTTACGAGTTATTATCGAAAAACACTGACCAATCTGAGAGCGAGTGCGGCCGGCGCTCCGTCCTTGTGGCCAATGCCGCGTCGCGCCACCCGGCAGCGATCGCGAGGGCGGGGCGTCAGCCGTACGCGTCCTCGCATTGGTCAGTGTTTTTCGTTAATAACTCGTAAACGAAGCCGCGAATTGCATTTGCGCTAAGGAAAAAGTTACTTCAAATGGATTCAGGAATCCCTCATTTCTCGAAAGCAACATTATTTTGGGTCACCCTGTATATTAGGCTGTCTCGAAAGTAAATTTTGTTTCTGAGTAATATGCAGAACGTGAATTTGCGTGTTTTTACTTGCGCTCGTACTATTTAACAACGTGACGAACCTTTGGGACAACCTAATGTCCTCTTTTTTCGTTTCAAGATTTAATGGCTGCGGGCATGTATTTTCCAGATTATAAATAGAACGATATCCTACTATTTCTTATTGGTAACACTTGACGATGACGAATAACGGGAAGGAGCATAGAAATCTATTTTCTGTTTCCGATGTAAATAAAAGAGATAGGAACTGATAAATCGCAGTAGATTTGTTGTCCCAAACGGAACCGTTCCTAAACAACTTCCTTTTTTCTCTTCTTTGTTGACAGTGCGACAACACTATAAACGTTTTATAAATTTAACGATAGCATTGAAAACTTTGTTCAATTTTATAACGATATTATAAACTTCGTTTAATCAGAAACATGAGAATAATTTACAGCATGTCAGGGAACTATGTTTTGTCGTATTAAAATCGCAAATTATCCTAAATTCCTTTTCCTGAAAGCGATGAAGTTTTTGGAGAAAGTGTAACACGTTCAAGGACATGAATTGACAGATCAATTTATGGCAGGAAAGATGGTGTTTGACCGAATAATTTTGTCCGATCCAATGTATACAGGGTGCCCAAAATTATGTTACTTACGGGAAATGAGGTCAATGAGGTCATTTAAAATAACTTTTTCCTCAGCGAAAATGCAATCAGCGGCTTTGTTTACGAATTATTAACGAAAAATACTGATCAATCAGAGAGCAAGTAAGGGCGGCGCTCCGCTCTTGTGGCCAATGCCGCATCGCGCCGGCCAACAGTGGTCGCGAGGGCGGGGCGTCAGCCGTACGCGTCCTCTCATTGGTCAGTGTTTTTCGTTAATAACTCGTAAACGAAGCCGCGAATTGCATTTGCGCTAAGGAAAAAGTTACTTCAAATGACCTCAGGAATCCCTCATTTCTCGAAAGCAACATTATTTTGGGTCAGCCTGTATATTATTCATCGTATCAACCGCTGAATCATCACATAGAACTTATCGCTGATTGTCGCTTCCTGTGGGCTGATAAGCACTTCCACGAATGGCAAATAACTTTTTATCTTAATTAATTGCTTAATCATGTGAATTTTCTTTTGTATTTCTGTAGTCTGTTTATTCGAACGTGTGACTGATTTCGATGTTGTGGGTGGACATAGTCATCTGTAAAGCGGGTGTTGCAAGCGACAAGTTGCAGGTATCGTTCGATCATTTGTAATCGCTTTTGTGGGAATTCCGGTTCCCTTTTTCGGTTGCAGGTCTTGGAACAGATCGTGTTCGTCACTTTGCAGTCTCTTGTGGATGACGAAAACTTTTGGTAATGTTATTCATTGGTGCGATGGAGATTGGGATTCCAAATATAAACGAACATTCCACCGTATTACTCAATAGAAACTAACAATTCACAATTTTAGATCGAAATAATAAAGAATTCAAGAGCAATAATTCACAATAGTCTACAGCAGGGCTCGGAATAAGGCTGCACGCAACATGGTAATGTCGAGGGCTACGCCTCTTGACTCCCGTCGCGATGTCTCGCTCTTTGCGTCTCCCAACGTTTTGCTCTGTCTCTTTGCTTGTCGATAATTAAATCAAAACCTGTTTTGTAGATTTCATATTTATCATCGATCAGAAATTATAGCTCGACACAGTGGAATAGGGCTACAGGGGATACAACTGACAAAAAAGAAAAACGAATTCACAATAGTAACTCATGGTGCTTCCAATCGATGAATTAGTTGTTCACGACGATTTTGGCAATGTTTTAAGACGTAAAGACAGCTTTATATAGGTCGTTGAACTCGTTGACATCAATGTCAGCTATAACAATATTAAGTAAAAAAGATATAGTAACAATTAAAAGATCAAAGTGACTTTAACTTAACTTAACTTTAACTCAACTTTGTTTCTAATTTTTTATATTGAAGTTTATAGAAGATTGAATACTAATTAAGCTACATTCAAAACATTTTTTTATCAAAGCACCGGAAATGACTGAAAAATTGCGATAACGTGTGAGTGATAAATGATGATTGCATATAAGAAATATTGCTTATAATTTATTTGAACATTAATATTAGGTCATTAAGTATGAAATATCCGATTACCTAAAGCATCAAGTTTGATATCCGATGTTGCCGAGATATTTCACTTCGACCATCCTTTAGGCGCATATTTTGATTAATTATATTACTTCTTGCCCGAGATATAATAAACCAAACTTTCAGTCTCAAATCGGACATTTCATACTTAATGACCTAATATTCAATTGACTAAGGAGAATTGTCAACGTTTCATATAATTAACAATTAATATCTTTTGATTCTCAAGTGATCGCGCTTTCTTTTAAAGTGAAATCATTTCTACATACTTTTATCACTACAATCATACTAATATCACTTCCTCTAACGTCCATCGATGAAAATGATTATTGTTTATAGCGTATCTGTGGCTGGAACCGCACGGAGCGCCAAGAAGTTACTATCTTGATTATCAATAGAACAACCGTATTATGTAACAACAAAAATACCATTATTAAAATATAAAAATTATAAATTAACATTAAGAATTAACCATTAACAAATTGACATTAACATGCCTTTTTCAGTAATATCCGGTGCTTTGACAAAACAAATGTTTCGAACGAAAATTAATTAGTACTCAGTCTTCTATAAACATCAATATAAAAAATTAGAAACAAATTTTTTTAAAAGTCTGAAATTAAAATCATCTGGATACTTTAATTGTTAGACGAATTTAACGACGTATAAACTGTCATTAACGTCTTAAAACATTGCTAAAATCATCATGAACAGCTAATTCATCGGTTGAGACCACTGTGCGTCGCCCTAATGCGCCACGAATAATTGCTACTGTACGCGCCTGAGGTCCTCTGAGCCGAATTGGGTAACACGGGGAGCGAGACGCTGCGACGGAAGTCAGAAGCGGTGTAGGCATGCAATTTACCTACGCACGAGTACGCATGCGCAGTGCGTCTACTGGGTAAACATTGTAATTTTGAACTATGATGGCGACGCGACGCGGTGCTGCAGATGGTTTTACAGTATTCACCCGGTAGACGCCCTGCACATGCGCCGTCGTTTATACATGTAGTTAAATTGCATGCCTACACTGGTCAGGAGGCGTAGCCCTCGACATCGCCGTGTTGCGTGCACTTAATTCCGAGCCCCGGTCCCATAATACTGGTCCTTCTATTATCTAAAAAAAATTTAAGTCGTTTAGTGCAGTTCTGAAAAGGTTATTCCATTTCAAAAGACGTTCGAATACTTTCTTTATCCACTGTAATTATCCATACAACTCATATGTCACTTATAAATAATACTAATATAAGTAGTATCGCGATGTGCCGTGTTACTCATTTCTGTATATGAATTTAAATCATAAGACATGCAATTGGAAATGAAATCGTAGGAAATGGCAGTCGATTTTCGCGACACCTTAACTGAAAAATTTTTATTCTCTATTTTCAATTTGTTTCTTCATGTAGAATCGCTCCCTTCACCCCCTTCATGTAGAGTCACCCTCCCACTTTCACCAACGCTGGAACTATGATATAATACAACTATAATATATGCTATAATATATGCTAATAATATGCTAATATATGCTATAATATATGCTAATAATATGCTAATATATGCTAATAATATGCTAATATATGCTATAATATATGCTAATAATATGCTAATATATGCTATAATATATGCTAATAATATGCTAATATATGCTAATAATATGCTAATATATGCTATAATATATGCTAATAATATGCTAATATATGCTATAATATATGCTAATAATATGCTAATATATGCTAATAATATGCTAATATATGCTATAATATATGCTAATAATATGCTAATATATGCTATAATATATGCTAATAATATGCTAATATATGCTAATAATATGCTAATATATGCTATAATATATGCTAATAATATGCTAATATATGCTATAATATATGCTAATAATATGCTAATATATGCTAATAATATGCTAATATATGCTATAATATATGCTAATAATATGCTAATATATGCTATAATATATGCTAATAATATGCTAATATATGCTAATAATATGCTAATATATGCTATAATATATGCTAATAATATGCTAATATATGCTATAATATATGCTAATAATATGCTAATATATGCTAATAATATGCTAATATAAGCTATAATATATGCTAATAATATGCTAATATATGCTATAATATATGCTAATATATGCTATAATATATGCTAATATATGCTATAATATATGCTAATAATATGCTAATATATGCTATAATATATGCTAATAATATGCTAATATATGCTAATAATATGCTAATATATGCTATAATATATGCTAATAATATGCTATAATATATGCTAATATATGCTAATAATATGCTAATATATGCTAATAATATACTTATTTATGCTATAATATATGCTATAATATATAACATAATAATAATATACGCTATAATATAGAACATACTTTTCCCCATTACGTAACAATAAACAAAAAAATTATCGAAGGCGTACAGTCTTGGCGTCTCGTTCCGTAAATTTCTCCATTGTGGAATCTCGGAGATCACACATCGAGGCCAGCCGTTCGAGATGATGAAACGTGTTTGAACACCGGTGTTAGCACTAATAGATTTCTTCTTCCTTTCTCCTAACCTGCTTGTAATTCGTACGTGGCTAATCGTGTCGAACGCCATTCCCATTTTTCTACGTGACAATGGTCACGTCAGCCACTCCGACGCTATCTCTGCAGTATTATGAACCATCTTCCACTTAAATATAGCCTTTTACTCCTTGGCCGATGAAAAATACAGACCCTGATCATTTTTAGTTTTGCGATAAGTGTCGTGTGAAAACTACGAAAATACATTTATTAATAATTGCTAAGATTTTAGTAAAATATTCGTATGAATAAGCAAATTTTTGGAAAAGTTCTACACACCTTTATTTAATAATAGTTACAGCGTAGAAATAAATTCTGAGATTAATCATCTTGACAGTTCCAGTAGATTTACTGT